GCATTCTCGGATGGTGTGGCCGCTTGCGGGACTAGGGCTAGCGATTCGGTGCCGGGAGGGGCTTGGCGTGACGGTAGGACTCGATCGCGTCTTAGCGAGCTCGCGGCTGGAGGGGGCGAGGGCGGGGGCGTGGCGAGAGCTCGATGAAGTGGGCGGGGGCGGGGGCGTGGCGAGTGAGTAAAAATACACTTTTAAGAAACCTGTAGATTCAAAGTGTAATCACAAGAGAAATGAGGACGTATTTTGAGCCGAATTAAAATGAAAACATGACAATTCGCATTTAGTGAGATGCAGCTACGAAAGTATTGAGGGAAATTTACTTCAATACTTAGTGAACATACCTGAAATCAGGGCTCCAAATTTCCGGGTTTTTTTTCAGACTTCCATTTTAAGAAATCAGGAAGCTGGGTCAGCTCTGTGGCATAGTGGCGGCTAAAGCCCCTGCCTCCGGCACCAGCATCCCACGTGAGCTCAGGTTCGAGTCCCGGCTGCTCTACTTCCGGATCCAGCTTCCTGTTAATGCGCCCGGGGAAAGCAGAGGAGGATGGCCCAAGTGCTTGGGCTCCTGCACGTTTGTGGATGAAGCTCCTGGCTCCTGGCTTCAGATCAGCCCAGCAGCCATTTGGGGAGTGAACCAGCAGATGTTAGATCTCTCTCTCTCTCTAACTCTGCCTTTCAAATAAATAATTTATTTTAAAAAATAAAAACAATTTAAAAGGACCTGCATTATGCATTTTGTAAATGGATAACTTGATTCAGAAAGGGACAAGATGGGGCCGGTGCTGTGGCGTAGTAGGCTAGGCCTCTGCCTACAGTGCCAGCATCCCATATGGACGCCAGTTGGAGTCCTGGCTGCTCCTCTTCTGATCCAGTTCTCTGCTACGGCCTGAGAAAGCAGGGGACAATGGACCAAGTGCTCGGGCCGCTGCCACCTACTTGGGAGACCGGGAAGAAGCTCCTGGCTCCTGGCTTTGGTTGGGCGCAGCTCCAGCCATTGCAGCGGTTTGGGGAGTGAACCAGTGGATGGAAGATCTCTGTCTCTGCCTCTCTCTGTCTATAACTCTGCTTCTCAAATAAATAAACCTCTTTTAAAAGGGGGGGGGGCAAGACAGGAGGGCATCTGCTGAGTGGCTCAGCTGCTGCGTGGGATGCCTGCATCTTGCACAGTGCCTGGGCTCCTGTTCCGCTGCTCCAGCCTCCATTCAAGCTTCCTGGTAATGCACACCCCCTCGGGGGGCAGCAGGTAATGGGTTAACAACTTGGGTTCCTCCACCCTCGTGGGAAGCCGGGACTGAGTTCTTGGCTTCCAGATGTGGCCTGGCCCAGCCCTGGCTCTTGTGGGCAACTGGGGGTGAAATAGTTAGAAACCTCTGTCTGTGGGCCTCTCCGCTTTTCAAGCGAATAATAATTTCACAAATAACACTAAAGGAAAACAATATGACATTGAAGACAAAACCTGAAGCAGCAAACAGTCCACACCAATTTTCAAAGAAAAATGTAATCTCGTTGACATCCTGGTTGGAGAGGACTTGTGATCGACAGCAGAAGCACAGCCCAGCAGGTTATACGGCTCCGGACAACGACTGTAACGGCGAGCACGTTTCTGCTCAGTGGGCGCCCGAACTGGTGCAGCCAGGTCAGCGGCAGAGAAAGGCGGAGCTGCCACTGGAACTGTGGCACAGGGGAGCAGGGAGCCCCTCCAAGGACTGTCCCCAGAGGTGAAACCTGGCTTTGCCAGTGCAGCCCTGAAGACAAAGCACAACAAAGCAATGGCCACCAACAGCTGGAAGTGGCCCAAAGCAAAAACCAGGGGCCCGGCTCTGCGGTGCGGCGGCGTGAGCAGCCACTCATGACGGCAGCGTCTCCTATCAAGTGCTGGTTTAAGTCCCGGCTGCTGTTTTCCCTCCAGCCTCCTGCTGATGCACCTGGGAAGGCAGTGGATGGTCCAAGTGCTTGGGCTCCTGCACCCCCGAGGGAGACCCGGATGCACTCCCTGGCTACCGGCTTCAGCCTCACCTTGACTTGGCTGTAGTGGCCGTTTGAAGAATGAACCAGCAGGTGGACGATGTCTCTGTCTCTCCCATGTTCTTGCTGATGCTCTTTCAAATAAATAAATAAAAAAACAGGCAAAAGCAAAAGCTGGCCAACCAAGAGTGGCCACAGTTTTGTAGGAGGCTGAAGGCATTTTGTTTGTTGACATTCTGGAAGACCAAAGAATGATAACAACTGATCATGAGCACGTTTGAGAGTTGCACAAAGCTTTAATAGAAAAACACCCAAGAAAGCCACTCGAGCCCTTCCCAACCATAATGATGCTGCTCACTCCTGTCATCAAACAGGCCAATTTTAAAAAATATATTTATTTGAAAGTCAGAGCTACAGAGGAGAGGCACACACACACACACACACACACACACAGAGAGAGAGAGAGAGAGAGAGAGAGAGGTCTTCCATCCTGGTTCACTCCCCAAATGGCTGCAGGGGGCCGGGCTGGGCCAGGCTGAAGCTTGAAACCAGGAGCTTCCTCCAGGTCTCCCATGTGGGTGCAGGGGCCAAGCACTCGGGCCATTCTCCACTGCCTTCCCAGGCCACAGCAGAGAGCTAAATCAGAAGTGGAGCAGCTGGGACTCGAACCAGCACCCATATGGGATGCCGGCACTGCAGGCGGCAGCTTTACCCACTATGTCACAGCGCTGGCCCCAAACAAGGGCAACTCTGTGAGAATTTCTACAGGAGGTCACTAGGCAGCCACCTCGCAGTGTTGATGAGGCAGCTGCTGACTTCTTGTTTTCTGATCTTTTTTAAATTTTTTTATTTTTTATTTTTTGACAGGCAGAGTGGACAGTGAGAGAGAGAGAGAGAGAGAGAGAGAGAGAGAGAGAGAAAGGTCTTCCTTTTGCCGTTGGTTCACCCTCCAATGGCTGCTGCGGCCAGTGCACCGCGCTGATCCGAAGGCAGGAGCCGGGTGCTTCTCCTGGTCTCCCATGGCGTGCAGGGCCCAAGAACTTGGGCCATCCTCCACTGCACTCCCGGGCCACAGCAGAGAGCTGGCCTGGAAGAGGGGCAACCGGGACAGGATCCAGCGCCCTGACCGGGACTAGAACCCGGTGTGCCGGCGCCGCAAGGCGGAGGATTAGCCTAGTGAGCCGCAGCGATGGCATTTTTGATCTTAATGCTCGTAAGGTGCATCCGTTTTCCTTCAGTTCATCAGATAAACGAGCCTGCACGGGCCTGGCTTCAACCCCGGACGCTCCGCTCTTTAGGCATGAACTAGGTGGCTTGCAGGCCCGGCGCTGCCTACGAGTGTTTGGACCTTGATGCAGCTGAGTTGTGAAACAAAGTTCTTGTTTTTTATCATTTACTCCCAGTTCCCACAGGCTGCTTTAACTCCTCCGTATACATAATTTATGTCTATTTCTATTGGTGGTAACACTTGGGAAGTAAAACATAAACAGCTTACTCTCTGTCCATCATTTTTTTTTTTTAAAGCCACTCTGATATAGGATTCAGGGATACCACAGGTGTCTTTAAAAGAAACGAAAATTTTATTTGTTTGAGAGGCAGAGTTACAAAGAGAGAGAAAGGCAGAGAGAGAAAGGTCTTCCATCTGCTGGTTCACGCCCCAAATGGCTGCCACAGCCAGGGCTGGGCCAATCCAAAGCCAGGAACAAGAAGCTTCTTCTGGGTCTCACACATGAGTGCAGGGGCCCAAGGATGTGGGTCATCTTCCACTGCTCTCCCAGGCCACAGCAGAGAGCTGGATCAGAAGTGGAGCAGCCGGGACTCAAACCAGCGCCCACATGGGATGCTGGCACTGCAGGCAGCGGCTTTACCTTGGACCTGGCTGCTTGTGCCCCACCCCAAGCGAAGGAGGCCAGGGCCCAGGCCGAGTCTTACGGAGGGCAGGACAGGGGCTTCAGCTGGGTGAGACTGAAGCCAGGGCAGAGACAGGGACAGTGACAAAGGGGCCAGGCCTCCTGAGGGGCCTTGTCCTTGCTGGTGACGCTCACGGGGACTCGTCCCCGAGGTCCCATTTCTAAGGACCCAGCGAGGCTCCTGAGGGAGACACCCTGCGGCCGGGGAGGACTGAGGGCCCGCAGCCACTGCTGAGCGGTCAGCCTGGAGCCGGCACCAGGACCAGGAGACCTGGGGACCCCTCCCACCGCATCTGCCCTTTCAGACCCAGCGCCTGGCTCAGCCCCCGCTCAGGCCCAGGGCGGGCTGGGGACGAGTTGCAAGCAGCAGAGGAGATGAGGTTGGGGTTCACCCGGGCAGGCTGCACCAGGGAAGGGCCCGCCTCACTCAGCAGGCAAAGCTTGTGCAGGATCGGCCTTGGCCGCCCGCACTGCGAAGGCACAGGCCCAGGCGGGGGCCTGGAGAGGGAGTGCATGGACCCCGAGGGTCTGGAGGCCTCAGCTAAGGCAGAGACTGGCGGGGGGCGGAGAAGGCGTTCAGATAAGGGCCATGGCAGCTGAGCCGGGAGCAGCCTAGCGGAAGTAGTTGGGGCAGTCGTGGGCAACCAGGTGCCAGGCTCGCTCGAAGGCCTCCACGACGGCCGGCTCCAGGGGCCCTTCCTCCACGGCTGCCAGGTTCTGCTCCAGCTGCGCCAGGCTGGACATGCCCAGGATGACCGCGTCCCCGTGGGCGCCCTGCAAGGGGGACACAGATGTCAGCTCAGTGCACACCGGGGCTGCCGTCACCCCCACGGCCCAACCAGCTGCCCGCCCCGCCGTGGGGTCCGGGTTTGGTCACTCCCTGTAGTGCCAGAAAGGACTCAAGGAGCCGGGGGCGGCTGTGTCTTTGTGACTCTGTGGCTGTGTCCTTGCCCGGGTGCCACCCTGCTCGCCCAGAGCCCAGCTCTGCCACCCAGCAGCTGTGCAAACGTGGCTTGGTTCTTTAACCTCCCCTGGACTCCCTCTTCTCTATTTTCAGAGTGTTATGGGCGTGAAAAGTCAGGCAAAGCTCTCGGCTTCCATACGGAGCCCCATTGTACATGAGGGCGCTGCAGGGAGGTCATGGAACAGGGTTGGAAGAAAAGTCTATCTGGTACAGAACAATTCTGAGTTCCATGCATAGAAGTTTTATGGAACACATGTTGGAGAGTCTTATTATGCACAGCTTTAAATAATTTTTGCACCATATAAACTTATCTTCTCAGTCCATTTTCTATGAATTTTTTAAATTGTTATCTGAGAAACAGAGAGGCTTTCCACAGGGTGGCTCATTCTCCAGACGCTACAGTAGGAAGGGCTGGGCTGGGGCCGGATCCAGGAGGAGGGAACTCAACCCAGGTCTGCTTCGTGGGTGGCAGGGAGCCAATGGCCAGAGCTACCCTAGCTACTTCCAAGGTGTGCGTGGGTGGGAAGCCAGTTGAGGACCCCGTGCTGGGACAGACACACACCCCCCCAGCCCTCGGCTGTGAATGAGCTTCTCAACCCGCTAAGCTAGACACCTGCTCCTCCATGTGTATATGGAAGTACCCTCATGTGTGGCAGGTACTTTGTGACAGTCCAAGCCAGATGCTGGAGACGGGTTTAACCAGGACGACCAGGGACTCTGAGACACAGAAATCTCAGCTCCCAGCAAGGACCCTAATGGATTACATAGTTAAATGCATGGCAAATTCCTCATCAACGAAACTGGGACAGCCATTCTTCCTAAAAACTAGGTAATTACTGCATCCATGTCTGCAAAAGCCTTATTCCAACACCTGGCACTTAGATGGGAAAAAATAACAAGGGAAAGGGTACCCACGAGAGCTAGAAGAAAGTGTAGTTTCAGATGAAGCCATCCCCTAGAGGAGCGGACGCTGGGGCCCAGGGCAGCGCGCTTACCTGCAGCTGGGAGTGGTGGTACATCCAGCGCAGGGCGGCCGAGGTCATGCTGGGGGCGCTGCTGCCATACGCAGCCTGCAGGGCCTTCTCCACCAGGGCAATGCCCTTGAAGTGCTCCTCCTTCCAGTAGCTGGGCGGGTGGGGACAGGCACAGGGGTCAGACCCACGGGGGTGGCACTGGGGGCCAGAGCCAGAGAGCCAGGCGGCCAGCAGTCCCGCCTACCCTGCTGCACAGAGGGGCGTGTCCCCTCCACATCAGCCTCCCCAGAGGCCCCGATGACATCTCTGCTCCTGAGAATCACGCACCTGCCCCCATCTGACCCAGGGCCACCATGGAGCAGAGACAGGGCCGGCCCAGGCTCCTGAGCCTCCAGCCCTGGTTCTGTCTTTCCTGCCCGGCAGGTGACTTCTCAGGGCAGAGCTAGGACGTGGAAGACCACGTGGGCCCAGGACCCCCACTCCTCACAGAGGCCCCAGAGCAGAGGAAACCCCACCTGCTATTATTGGAGTAATCAAGATGCAGGTGCAGGAGGTAAGGGAGCCCTGGGACAGCTAGGCACCCCCACCCCCCCGTGCACAGAGACAGCCCCAGCTCACCGATTCCTGTACGTCTCTGCCCAGTTATTCCCAAAGAAGCGGCCCTCTGGCTTTTTTGCATCCTGGTCCTCATACTTGTACCTGCCCGTCAGCAGGCCCCCTATAGAAAGGCTGCTGTCAGACCCCTGGCCCAGAGTCTTCCCAGAGGCTGCCAGACCCCTCAGGGCTCTGGACCGCAGGTGGGGAGCCCCAGGGTTGGAGGAAGGCCACAGAGCTGCCTGCCCCCTCCTCCTATGGCCCCCCTTGCTTCCCAGGCCCTGGCTGGGTGTCCCCCGGGCAGGAGCAGCCGAGACAGAGCAGGGCCTGGGCTCCCACCCCAAGAGGCCTGTCCCCAGGGGGACTCATACCAGCCAAAGGGTTGTAGGCGTAGAACCTCATCCCAAAGTGCCTGAGGCAGGGGAACAGCTCCTTCTCCACCTGGCGGGTGGTGGCGTTGTACATGCCCTGGGGGAGAGGCACAGGCTGCAGGGGGGGCACCCGGGCAAGGGATGCGACCTCTGCCTCTTTTCAGACTCTCAGCCCAGGACTCAGCAGTATCTCCAGCCTCTCCGGTGGTAGCAGCAGGTGGGGATACAGTGTTGGGCCCATGAGGGTACCCAGGCCGGACCACCATTCCAGAAACCTCTGTGGGCACCCACCAGGTGCTGGACACTGGATTTGCAACCAGGAGAAGGATGGCAAGTTCTCTGTCTCTATGAGATGTTACAGTTTAAAAAACTGACAAGATGATGGAATATTGCAATCAAATAGGTTCTGGATCAGCGCAGGTGCTCAAACGTTCTCACTGGGGGGAATCAGATGAGGTTCGGAAGTGGAGGCTCCTGGGGGCCGGGGGCAGACTGCTCCAGGAAGGACCACATCATGTGAGCCCTCAGCACTGTGCCCAGGGTGGGTGGAGACACATGGCTCAGGCCGAAGGGCAAAGCCACATGGGGGAGGAGCAGTCAGGTGCCATCTGGGCAGGCAGGGAACCAGGCGAGGAGCCGGGCTGGCATCCTTCGGCTTGCACAGGAGATGGGAGCACCAGGGTGATGAGAACCCAGGCTCCGTGCGCGGCCCTCACCTGGTACACGGTGGGCTGGATCCAGCCGTGGTTCTTGCACAGGGTGTAGATTTCGGCCACCTGCCAGGCGGCGTAGTTGGAGAGACCCAGCTCCACGAACTTGCTCTGCGGGGAGAGGCCGCGGTCAGAACCAGTGCTGCCCAGGAGACCAGGAAGGGGCACGTGGGACGTGCCCTGCCTCCTGGTTGCTCCCTCTCCCGGTGGTTTCACGAGGAGAAGAGGGGCAGAGTCCGTGTCTGGAGTTGGGGCCACCCTCACCTCCTGGTGCAGCTGGTGGCAGGCGCGCAGCGTCTCCTCCACGGGGGTGCCGTGGTCGGGCGCGTGCAGATAGAAGAGGTCCACGCGGGGGCACTGCAGCCGCTTCAGCGACGTCTCCAGCTGGGACCGGACGCTGTCGGGCTTCAGCGATTTCCCATCCCAGGGGTTGGCTTTGGTGGCGATTTTCACTTGGAGGAAGAACAGAAAACAGACTTAGAAGAGCTGCTCCCACCCCACGTCACCTGGGTGAACCACCATGAACCCTGAGCCTCTCAATTCCCTGTTTGTAAGATGCTCTCTCACAGAGGGGTCACAGGATTCAATAACGTCTGAAGTCAGCTTTCAGTGTTTGCTTCTGTGACAGTCACTGTCAAGGTCACCAGACTGCTGGCTAGGCCAGGCCTTGTAATACAGACCGAGGGTGCAGAGATGCCATGGATACAGAGATCTGAGGGTTCCCAGGGCCCCCGATCCGGAGGGGCAGGTGCTGAAGCAGCCCAGGCCAGGCCCAGCCTGTGAGTCCGGGGCCGTTTCTCTGGGGAGGCTCCCCAGGCTGAGTTCCCAGCCTACAAGGAAGGGTGGGAGGTGCATTGCCCTGTGTGGGACACGTGCAAAGCCAGAGACAGACACAGCTGGGAGGCTCCCGTTCTGCGTTCCAACGGCATGAATTCCAGGGCAGAGCGTGGTGGAACGTGACCGAGGAGGGGGCGCAGACTCGACCCCCACGGGTTCTCCATCTGGATGTCTTGCACAGGGCTGTCACGGGTCCACGGTCAGCTACACTCAGTCCGGCTGCGGCGTGGGGCAAAGACTCAAGTGGGCAGCCCTGGAAACATTTAGGGAAGAAACCCAGCCTTTGGAAAGGGGCCCCGGCAGCCCTGAGTCTGAGGGTGGGGCAAGGAGAGCCCCGCCTCCCCGCCAGACTCACTGATGGGTGCCCACACAGCACATCCGCTGTGTTCTGCCACCCAAGCAGCTTGGAAGTGAGTTAATTTAACACAGTTCCTGCCCCCGAGAAGAATGCCAGCAACAAAGCCAACCCTGCAGGCCAGAGGGGTGCAAGTTCCATGCTCCCCCTCCCCCACACCCCCGTGCACTCATCCTGCGTGTGAACTTTGCCGCGGGTCTGATCTGAGGACTTTGGCCCAGCCTGGCCCTGGCCTCGAAGAAAGAAGCAGGGAAAGACCAGAAAAGAAAAACCAATTCAGACACGCAATCTTCAGTCTCAGGGAGAGGCCAGGCGAACCGGACAGAGCGTGGACCGGGGAGGCAGGGGCCCACCCGTGCCTGCAGCCGTGCACCTGGGCAGAGCTCCTCACTGGACTGGACGGGAGGGAGGACAGGGTGTGCCCTAAGGCGCTGCCAATGGCACCAGGCTCTGGCCACCGCGTTCCCCTCCCGGGCTGTGCGGGGTCACTGGCTGTCCTCACACCTCACTCTGCTCGTCCAAGCTGAGTTCCTGCGCGGCCACTGAACTTCCGCCTCTAGCCCCCCCTTTCCCAGGTGCTCCTGCAGGAAGCTACTATCAGCGCCGGGTGCCCTGCGCCACCCCCAGGCCCCCCAGTGTGCTCCCGGGGGGCCTCTGAGCTCCCTGGAGTGGTCAGCCACTCTCTGGTCTACAGCCCCAGCACAGAAGGGACAGAAAGGCCTCTCCCCCCTCTCCCCACCCCCACCCTAATGCTCCTATTCCCCCAGGGCAACCCTGCAGTTGCCAAAGATTCTGCCAACTGAGGGGACCGTCTAGGGCGGGAAAAGCCTGCTTGGGGAGCAAGGAGATGGAGCCCGGGGTGGGGGCTGGCTATGGGCGCCCGGCAGGGTTGGAGGCTCCGAGTGCGCCCCCGGAAGGTGGGAGATGCGGAGAAGAGTCCGGGCCAGCCCAGGTGTCCGGGGCGGGACGTGCCTGCCGAGCCCGGGGTTCCTAGAGATGCGGGGTGAGTGGGTGGGTGGGGGCAGGTGGCGTGCACTCTGGGTCCGCGTCCTGCTGGGCGGAATCAGCTCTGCCCGGCGCAGGGGTCATCGGGTACCACCGTTACCTCTGCAGCCGCTGCCGCCCAGCCCGAGCCCCAGGCCGCCCAGGATGCTCTCAGACTGGCCGTCGCCGTACATGAAGGCCGTGTCCAGCTCGCTGTTGCCACGCTCCACGAAGGCGCTCACGGCAGCGGCGCTGGCGGGGGCGTCCATGCGGCGACCCATCTCCATGGTGCCCAGCACCGTGGCGGGCCGAGCCCGGGCTCCCGAAGCTGCCTGCAGCGGTCGGGACATGGCTGCAGTGCAAGGATCCAGCGCCCCAGAGCCTCGAGCGCAGGTGACCGCGGCGCGGGCCACGGCGCGAGACCCTGCACGCAGCATGGGGACTGCGCTTGCGCAGGGGGCGTCTCGGGTCCCGCCCACACCGCGGGGGCGGAGCGCCACGGAAGTAAGGGAGCGAGGGCAAGAGCGCGGCGCGGACGCTGGATCTCCAGGGACCGTCTGCCAAGTGCGCGGCCCCGGCGGGGCGGCGGCGCCAGGTCAGCTGACCCAGAGCGCGAGCTGAACCCGGAGGCCGGGTCCCGCGGCCGGCGCTAGCGAGGTGAGACGCGGCGGGCGCTGGCGGCAAGGCTTGGGGCAGGGGGTCGCGACTCCCGGGGCTTCCCTGCCACACCTTCCACCACCAGCCCCTGCAAGGTCCCGGGCTCCCGTCCCCTGCCGGGGGCGCCAAGTGCCGGGGCGAGGCCCCGGGCCGGGATTGGGTGGCCCTCGGGGGCCCATGTCCCCGTCGCTCCCCAACCTGAGGGCGACCAGCGCAGCTTCTCGGGCGTCTGGGCCGGGGTTTGGGTGCGGGTCCGGGTTCGCCTTGGCCTTGTTTTTCCCGGGCCCTGCCGGCGAGGGGCCCCGGCGCCGCTGTCCCCATGGCTGCCCTGTCATTATCCCTCCCGACTGGCGGCCCGCGCGCGTCCTGAGTCACCGGCTGGGCGTCGTGGCCGCTGACCCGGGGACCTGGACAGGGCGCACCCCGAAGCGGCGACGCTGACCGCCCCGCCCTCTGCCCGGGCCTGCAGGGGGGCCCCGGGTTTGCCCGGCCCCGCGTGCTGTGGCCCCCTAGTGTGTGGGGCTGTGGTCCGGCGGGCGCCGGGTCTCGTGCATTCAGCGCCCTGGAAGCTGCTGTGCGCCGGGGTGGCCGGGGTGCGGGGTCAGCGGCAGGAGCAGAGTGACCGCCACGGCGGCGGGGGGGGGGGGGGGTGAGCAGCACCCACGTAATCCCCTGGCCTGGGCTGTGTCCTTTAACACTGCAGACAGCTTAAGAGATGGGTGCTTAAACCCCCCCCCCGCGTGCCCCCCCCCCCCATTAGAACTCTGAAGTGGGTCCTTGCTAGTCTAGCCCAGGAGGCTCCACGTGATTGTCCCCTCCACCCGGGGCCCTTCCCGCTCACAACCTTTCCTCTTCCTCCCCCCCCTTCCCCTTTGCTGTCCTCCCTGCTTTCTCTTCCCTCCCCCCCCCCCCTTCCTGGACCTGGGCTGGGTGGCTGAGCGGGGAGGACCCTGGCTGAGCGGGGAGGACCCTGGCCTCTGGGCAGGTGTGTGGTGTGTAGTCCAGCTGGCTTTTGCAAAGCCTGTTTGGTAGGGGTGCGGTTTAGGACCTGGGCGGAGCCTCACGCTCGGGCCCTGGGGGTGGGAGGGGGAGATGGACGGGCCTAGGGAGGGAGGCAGCTTGTGCAAAGGCCTGGGGCGGGAGGCCGTGGGTAAGGCTGAGCTGGCGGCTGTTGGGGCCTTGCCTCAAGGACTTTGGACTTGCCCCTGTAGACGGAGGTGGATACTTGGTCTGATTTGGTGGGGGGCACTTTCTTCACTTAGCTGGGGTCTGGGAGAGGAGGTTGGGTGAGGTGGGAGATGCTGCCTCTTAGCACCAGAGCTGCCTAACCCTGGTCTCCCAGAGCCGTGGCCAGGTGCACGGCCCCTGAGTTATTTTCCAATTTAATTTATTTTGAAAGGCAGAGAGTTACAGAGAGAGAAAGAGGGAGAGACACAGAGAGAGGTCTTCCATCTGCTGCTTCACTCCCTAGATGGCCACAATGACTGGGGTCGGGCCAGGCTGAAGCCAGGAGCCAGGAGCTTCTTCCAGGTCTCTCATGTAGGTGCAGGGGCCCGAGGACTTGGACCATCCTCTGCTGCTTTCCCGGGCACATTAACGCAGGGAGCTGGATCGGAAGGGAAGCAGTGGGAGGACCTGAAGTCCTGTTGCGACCCCACTCATCTGTTTGCTCGGTGCTGCTTGCGCAGGAGCTGGGAACCCCGCCTGGCTTCCAGCGACAGGCACTTTGCGCGGTGGCCTTTAAAGGAAGGCGCCTGCTGTTAGAGCTCCGCTCTGCCTCCGAGTGTCCTGAGCGTGCGCTGCACGGAGGCTCCGTCCGAGGTCAGGGGACAGTGTCATGGGCCCTGTAAACCAAAGTGCTTTCCTCATGACCCCCACCCCCGTCCCCACCAATAACACACTAGGATGTGTCCACCCTAGCCTGGTGAAGACCGAGTGAGACCCAGGCCCGAGGGTGGTTGAGATCCTGGACTCTCATTCTGGAAACAGTCACTGCGCCTGTAGTCAGGCACCTGCCGAGGGCCGCTTGTGCGTGTAGAGCGTGACCGCTGCCTGATGGACAGGATCAGGCAGGGTAATTCACTTGCCCTCGGCCGCTCGGTTTCATCTGTACAGCGGGACGGCATTCCCTGCTTGGCCAGGGAGCGGTGAGGATGACGTGGAATGACGTGTGATGAACTGTGCTGACATTGGAGGAGGGAGGGCAGGGGGGCTGGGAACCAACGAACTTTACCTGAAACACCTCTGGCCCGGTTCTCCCCTGGGCTTTGTGTTAACTTGGAGTGGCCTCGTATGGCCATCACGTAAAGGCTTCCTGTGTCAGCTCGGCTGCTGGTCATCAGCCTGGGGTCCCCCTGTGCCGGGTGCCAGGCGGACAGTGACCTGGGGCGCCCTTGCCCCCAGCTCTGTCCGTGGCTGAGAGTCTGGCTTCCTGAGCAGAGGAGCTGGCTTGCATCATTGGCACTGCCGCTGCTTCCTGCTCCCTGTGAGCTCGGCGGCTCCCCAGGCGTGTCCCAGCTGGGGGCGACGGAGGCTGGAGAGAGCCCCGGCCTGGGGAGGAAGTCCCTCTCGGCTCAGTGTAAAAAGGAGAAGCCGGGTAGCCAGCCCACAGGAGGTTCACCCACGGGAGGCTCTGGGACTCGGTCCTGGCGTTGAGTCCTTGGCTTCCTGGCCGCTGGCCCTGGCAGATCACTCATGGTCCTCCCAAGGCCAGGGGTGGGGCACAGAGCTGGCAGGGGCCCAGCAGTCTGTGCTGGGCTTGTCACCGTGGAGGTGGCTCCAGCCAGCCGGCACTTTCTGTGCCTTTTCTAGGGTCATCACACAGGCAGTGACTGCTCTACCCTTGTTCCGGGGACCCTGGTTCGGGCAACTGGTGGTACCGTCCCTGCAGCCCCTGCAGGCAGCCATCCTGCAGCTTTGTTAGTAGTGAGGAGCTGGGGCCACTGGGGGCCCCTTGCTGGCAGCATCCCGCACGCCACGTGATCTCCTGGGAAGACATGGGCTGGAGCACCTTGAACTTGAATCCCAGCCAGCGGTGCCTCCCTGCCCTATCTCACCGATGTGCAGGTGGCCCTACTTTATTATTGTTTTTAAGATTCATTTTTATCTATTTGAAATGCAGAGTGACACTGAGAGAGGAACTTCCATCCCCTGGTTCATTCCCCAAATGGCCGCAATGGCTGGGCCGGGCCAGGCCAAAGCCGGGAGCCTGGAACTCCATCCTGGTCCCTTACACGGGTGGCAGGGGCCTGAGGACTTGGGCCATCTTCCAGTGCCTTCCTGGGTGTGTATATGAGCAGGGAGCTGGATTGGAAGCAGAGCAGCCGGGACTCACACCCCAGCACTCCGACACGCGGTGCTGGCGTTGCAAGTGGTGGCTTAACCCGCTGTGTGTGAGATCCTGGACTTAGGCCTGGCCTCCGCAGAGCGGCGTAGCATCATTACAGAAGAACCGGAAGCAATCTGGGTGTGCCGGGGTTCTAACAAAAGGCAGCACTGGGGACTCCATGCTGCGCTCTCTCTGAACTCATTAACCTGCACCGCAACAGCGTGAGGGAGGCAGTGTTCTTGCCCCCATTGTACAGGCGAGAGAGCTGAGGCATGGCGAGGCCGAGCGCCTGCTGAGGCCATGGCGTCACAGGCAGTGAGGCTGGGATCTGGAGGCGCTGCCCCGACGGCAGATCCCCGCTCCTGTGCGCTGTGTGGTCGCCGTGCCGTGTTTCCGCCTGCGAGCCTGCCGGCTGCCCGTGTGCCCGTGGGCGAGCACCAAGGCCCGGGCCGGGCTGTCCGAGGCTGAAGCCGCCCTCTCTTCCTTCCTGCAGAGCCCTCCTCTCTGCTCGCCCCCCGGGCTGGGGGCGCCCGGTCCGCAGCCATGGTCTGGAGGAAGCTGACTTCTGGCAACTTCTCCAGCTGCCCCAACGGCTCCCGCCAGTGGATCTGGGACGTGTTCGGCGAGTGCGCCTACGACGGCTGGGACGAGGCCAGCGTGGGCCTGGGCCTGATCTCCATCCTCTGCTTCTCAGCCTCCACCTTCCCGTGAGTAGCACCGGGCAGCCGTGCCAGGCAGGGCTGCACGGTGGGTGGGGGCGGGAGCTCCAAGCACTGCTGGGAGGGCCCACCTGGCTGGCCTTGGGCCTCTGCAGAGCCCGTGTCCGCCCCACCCTCCCTGACGTGTGGTGGGGGGCAGTGCCTGCCAGGCACGGCCTCTGTCCTCCAGGCATGGGCAGTGTGGCAGCGGAGACAGTGGTGGCAGTGGGCGCGGCCTTGTGTGGCCACTGCTGCCGTCAGGATACAAGGACACACTGTGTAATGGCCTGGTGGTCTGGGGCGGCCATACTCAGCCCCGCTCCCACCTGGGCAAGTCATTTCACTGCTCTGTGCCTCAGTTTCCCCACCTGTAAAATGGGAATATTGTTCCCCATTGTTGCTCTGAGAATAACAAAGGGGAGCGTATGCCAAGGCTCAAACCAGAGGCTTTGCACTTGTGTGCACGGTCTGAAGCTGTTGGTGGTGCTGGCTTTTTTCTTTCTTTTTTTTTTTGTTTTAAAAGATTGGTTATTTATTTGAGAGGAGAGTTACCATCAGAGAGAGAGAGACAGAGAGAGGGGTCTTCCATCCACTGATTCACTCCCTAAATGGCCACAATGGCTGGAGCTGGGCTGATCTGAAGTCAGGAGCCAGGAGCCTCTTCCAAGACTTCCACACGCGTGCAGGAGTCCAAGGACTTGGGCCATCTTCTAGCCATCTTCTACTGCTTTCCCAGGCCATGGCAGAGAGCTGGTTCGGAAGTGGAGCAGCTGGGACTTGAACCGGCGCCCATATGGGATGCGAGCACTGCAGGCGGAGGCTTCACCTCCGACACCGCCGCGCCGGCCCCAGTGCTGCTGTTCCTGCTGCTTCCTCGTGTGCAGCATGGGGGAGAGGCTGCTGCCCTGGGCGGAGGCAGGCGGGCTTGGTCGTGAAGGAGCTGGGGCAGGCACCAGCCGAGTGGTTAAGCGATGGCTCTGTCCTGCGTCCGGATGCCTGGGTTCGGTGCCCGCCTCTGGCTCCCGACTCCAGCTCCCTGCTAATGCAGACGTAGGAGGCAGCAGAGATGGCTCAAGTGACTGGGTCCCTGCCAGCACGTGGGAGGCCCGGATGGAGTCCTCAGCTCCTGGCTTCGGGCCCCCTCGCTGTGGCAGGATCTGGGGAGTGAACCAGGGGATGGAAGATCTGTCTGTCTCTGTCTCTCTGCCTTTCAAATAAGATGAAAAAATAAATAATAAAAATGTAAACAAACACACAGGCCGCGAAGGGTGTGTAACCCGTGAGCTGTCCTGCGTGGCTCAGGTGAAGAGAAGGCTTTTGTCGGAAGCGGGCCGGTTTCACAGCGCCACCGGGGGCAGCCACGCGCTGCAGTGAGCCCAGTTCAGTGCCCAAGTCCATGGTTCTGGTGTCTACAGGCTGTGTAACTAGCGCCACAGTTTATTTTTTGAAGATTATTGATTTGAAAGAGTTACAGAAGAGAGAGAGAGAGAGAGAGAGAGAGAGAGAGCGAGCGAGTTCTTGCATCCGCTGGTTCACTCCCCAAATGGCTGCAATGGCCAGGGCTGGGCCAGATTGAAGCCAGGAGCTTCTTCCAGGTCTCGCCCATGGGTGCTGCCTTCCCAGGTGCGTTAGCAGGGAGCTGGATTGGAAGTGGAGCGGCTGGGACTCCAAGTGGTGCTCTGATATGGGTTGCTGGCGCTGCAGGTGTAGCCTAGGCTGCTGGGCCACACTGCTGCGCCCCCACTATCTTTGAAAAAAAAGCTACTTATTTTATTTGAAGGCACAGAGAGAGAGAGAGAGAGAGAGAGAGATTGATTTCTCATCTACTGGTTTACTTCCCAAATACCTGCAAATGTGGGGCTGGGCCAGGCCGAAGCCAGGAACCCTCAGCTGCAACCTGGTCTCCCACCTGGTGGCAGGGACCGCAGCACTTGAGCTGTCACCCGCTGCTGCCCAGGTTGTGTGTTAGCAGGAAGCTGGAATCGAGAGTGGAGCTGGGAATTGAACCCAGGCCCTCCGGCGTGGGGTGCGCCTGTCCCAAGTGGGGTCCTAGCCACGCACCAGATGCCCACCCCTCTTTTCGCTTTCTTCGTCATATCCTTTGAAGTGGAGAAGTTTTAAATTTTGGTGATGTCCAGTTTATCCACCTTTTCTTTTATACTTTTTTTTTTTTTTTATGTCATAGCTAAGAAACCGTAGCCTAATTCAAGTACCAGAAATTTCCCCTTTTAGGAGTTTTGTGGCTGGGCCTCTGACATTTAGATGTTTAATCCGTAGCACGTAGGGGCCTGATCACATCGTTCTGCTGTGAACAGCTTGTTGTCCCAGCGCCACGTGTAGAAAAAGATTGTGCCTTCCCCACTGAATTGGCCCAGCGTCCCGTCTGGGCATGACAGGGAGGGGCGGAGAGGGAGGCTGGAGGAGGGAGGCTGTCCTGGGGACCGTGGTGGGTGGATTGGAGGTGCCCCCAGGAGGCAGGTGGACAGGGCTGGGGGACTGCCGGAGCCATGGAGAGACTCCCTGTCGTGGGCAGGATGAGAACTTCCAGATCTCTCCAAGGAGCTGGCTGAGGCGTCCGCTTCCGGCCAGGGTCTGGCTGGTGGACCACAGGAGCACCGGAAGCCTGGGAGAGAGCCGGAGTGGCGGCTGGAAGGGTGGCAGCTGTCCCCCTGCTCTCGGGGACCTGGCCTCTCCTGGATGGGACAGAGAGTGGCGTGGGCGTGGCTGAGAAGCACTGCCCTGCCCTCCCGGGCCTCTCGGGCCTCTCGGGTGTTGAATGTTACGGAGAAGGAGGAAGGAGATGCGGCAGAGCCCACGTGGACGCGGTCCCGGGAGGAACCGGCGCTTCCTGAAACTGAAGATGAAGAGGAGGGGTCGGCCGAGCGGGGCTGCGGGAGGGGCTGGCGGGCCGGGCGGGGCGAGGGCTTTCCTGCTGAGCCCCGGGGGTGCCCATGGGTTGGAAGATTGGGGTTTTAGGACGATCCCTGAGAGGGAGAGGGGAACGAGGCTGGGTTAACAGAGGGAGAGGGGGCGTGGGGGCCTGGCGTGGGAACCAGGGCCAGTGTCCAGCTCCCTCTGTTGCTGGTGTGTGGGTAATGGGTGAGATAAGGCAATATTTAGTTTCTATCTACATTTAAAAAATTATTAATTTGGGTGGGGGGAGAGCGTGAGTGTGCGCTCCTGTCTGGTGGTTTGTGCTCCCAACGCCCACAACAGCCAGGCCTTGGCCTGCTGTGCTGCCCCCACCCCCTCCATTCGAGAAAGCAGCCAGGGTCTCTGGGAAGTGGTGCCAAGCACAGACCTGACTCCAAACCTCGGGATGCCGTGCAAGCCCAGAGCAGGTTCAAGTCCCGGCTGCTGCACTTCCCATCCAGCTCCCTGCTGGCGCACCTGGGAAGGCTGCAGCTGGTGGCGCCCAGACTTGGATCCCTGCCACCCACACGGGAGACCTGGCTGGAGCCCCTGGCTCTTGGCTTCAGCCTGGCCCAGCCCCAGCTGCTGTGGCCATTTCTGGAGTGAAGCAGTGGATGGAAGATTCTCTGAGATGTTCTCTCTTTCTTTTTTATTTATTTATTTATTTATTTGACAGATAGAGTTAGACAGTGAGAGAGAGAGAGACAGAGAGAAAGGTCTTCCTTCCATTGGTTCACCTCCCAAATGGCCGCTACGGCTGGAGTTACGCCAATCCGAAGCCAGGAGCCAGGTGCTTCTCCTGGTCTCCCATGGGGTGCAGGGCCCAAGCACCTGGGCCATCCTCCACTGCACTCCCTGGCCACAGCAGAGAGCTGGACTGGAAGAGGGGCAACCGGGACCAGAACCCAGTGCTCATATGGGACGCCGGCACCGCAGGCGGGGGATTAACCATGTGAGCCACGGCACCGGCCCCCCTGAGATTTTCTCTCTCTGCCTTTCAAATAACTAATTGTTTAAAAGAAAAAAACAAAGCCCAAAATTTAAAAAAGAAGGCATTCTCCTGATAAGAGTCCTCCCAAGGACAAAGCGGGCCCTGAGAGCCAGCTGCAGGACGGGTGGGCTCTAGCCTTCCCTCCACTGTCCACCCACCGGCCCCGCTGGCTGCCCTGTGGCCCATGTCTGGCAGCTGTGTGGCCCCGGGCCTCTGAGCACACGCAGCTCCTCTTCCACAGCCAGTTCATCAAGGCCTGCAAGACCGGCAACATGGACCAGGCCCTGTCCCTGTGGTTCCTCCTGGGCTGGATCGGCGGAGACTCCTGCAACCTCATCGGCTCCTTCCTCGCCGACCAGCTGCCCCTGCAGGTGCGCTGGCCCCGGGTGGGGCGGGCTGCCCAGGCCGGCAGGAGGAAGGCCCGGCCTGTCATTCCCTCTGCCTCTGCCCGCCGAGCTGTGCGACAGTGGGCAGTCACATCAAGCCGCAAGCCCGCTGGGGTCTGCCCCTGGGCTGCCGTGACCTTGAGCGCGCATTCCAGGTGTCCAGCTCTGAGAAAGGAGGTTTCCCGTGGGAGGCCTGGCTGGCGTCGCTCCCCTGCACTGTGTGCCCACGGGGGCTAGCGGGAAGCCTTCACGGCTCCCAGGCCGGCCCTGAGCCCCTGCGTGGCCGTGGCCCTTTGCTCGCCTGGGTCTCATTCTGCTCAGTGGGAACGGGGGTCCCCTCCTTCAGGGCAGGGTCCCCGGCTGGGGCGTGGGCCGGAGCCTGGGCCACAGCCAGCGCCGGACCCTCTGCCCTTGCAGACCTACACAGCCGTGTATTACGTCTCGGCGGACCTGGTGATGCTGACGCTGTACTTCTACTACAAGTTCAAGAAACGCCCGCCTCGGTGTGAGTATGGCGGCCGCTCTGTGCCAGCACTCGGCTGGCAGCCAGAGGGCCTGGAGCCGGGACGACGCGGGCTCCCCGCTGCTGGGCGATGAAGCCGACCTCGGCAAGGCCTTGTCTGCGAGGCTGAGCCTTTGTTGGCCAAGGTGGAGGCTGCAGGGCACTGGGCGCACCTGACGGGGCGGGGTTCTGCTAGTGCTCGGCCTGCAGGCCTGGAGGGGCTCCTGCCTCCTCCTCCGCGTGCAGCCGTGCGTGCGGGCTGGGGAAGTGAGGCGAGGGCATCCTCTCCCAGCCTGGCTGCCTCTGCCTTCCAGGGTTCCGCAGGGGCACTAGGCCCAGTCAGCTGGGGGGTTTTCTGCTGTTGGTGACCCCGCTGTCCCCCCGGTTCGCCTCCCACCCTAGGAGAGGTGTTCTGTTTGACACCCTCCAGCCCAGAGAGGCTCGGTCACCGGTGTGAGGTCACACAGCACTGAGGGTCAGGGCCAGGGTTCCGTTCCAATTCAGCCCCAAACCCCGCCCCCCTCCCCCTTTCCCAGGTTTTGTCCCCAAAAATTCCGTGCTCTTTTTCTTAAAGGGGCCGGTTTTTTTTGTCCCCCTTTTAAACATTTCTGGCCCCGGGCCCCCCCGCCCGGAATTTTTCCAGGGGGGGACCCTGCTGTTTGGGGACCCAGGAAAAAAGGTGGGGCGGGGGGCGGGGGCCTAAAATGGGGGGGGGTTCCGAAATCCCGGGGCCCGGGGGGCCTGAAGGTTCACCCCCCCCTTCCTTCCCCCCCCCCCCCCCCCCGCCAGCCCTTCACCCGGCAGGAGGTCGTCGGCTTCGTCATCGGCTCCGTCTCCAGCGTGCTCTATCTGCTCTCCCGGCTGCCCCAGATCCGCACCAACGTGAGCCGGGGGTGGGCCCTCCGGGTGGAGAGTGGGTGGGAGTCTCAGGTCCGGGACCGCACTCCGCCTGGGCTTGGGCAAGGTGATCCCACTCTCCGAGCCTCCGTCGTGCCCCCAGCACCCGGGCCTGCAGGTGCCTGTGAGACCTGCGTGTGTCGCAGGGAGGGCAGAGGTCAGGCAGAGGAGGCGGTGGGGACTGGGGTGGGGAGGCAGCTGGGCCTGAGAGACTGCAAGGCCGGAGAGTGGGCGCGGCAGTGTGGCCTCAGTGGGCGGGCTCCAGGAGAGGAAGAGGAGGAGGGCCGGGTGGGGCTGGTCCCAGGCCAGGCTGGCCTCGCCACACCGTGACGGGCCAGCACGACCCCTCCCCCCGCCGCGCCCCCAGTTCCTGCGGAAGTCCACCGAGGGGATCTCCTACTCCCTGTTCGCCTTGGTGATGCTGGGGAACACGCTGTACGGGACGAGCGTGCTGCTCAAGAACCCCGAGGTGGGCCAGAGCGAGGGCAGCTACCTGCTGCACCACCTGCCCTGGCTCGTGGGCAGCCTCGGGGTGCTGCTGTTGGACACCGTGGTATCCTTCGCGGGCGCAGGGCGGCACGGGCGGGGGCTCTGCCTGCGGCCGCTGTGGGATCACTACCCCTCCCTCCCTCCCTCTCTCCCTCATTGACTCAAGAGCGCACACTTCTCGTGTGCCGGCCATGCAGCCAGGCCGTGGACCCACTGAGCAGGAGCGGACCGGCCCTCGTCCAGGGAAGCCTGTGGCTCCGTGGGGAGGCGGAGCGGGCACACGGGATACCAGATCACGCCACCGCCGTGGCCCCGTTGCTGCCGAGAGCGCCAGGCGGTCTGCCTGCACGGTCAGCAGAGGTCTCCACGAGTCTTGTTTAAACTGAGCCTGAAGAAGTTAGGCAAAGGCGAGGGAAGACTGCTCTAGGCACAGCCTATGCAAAGGCCCTGGGGAACGCAGGAACCAGCCCGGGAAGCTGTGGGAATGAGAGCTGCAACGTGATGACAACGCCAGTTACGGTCGCTTCCCAGCCGCGCGACACAGGGCAGCCGTCGACCTCTGGTTGACCGGGGCTGTCTCACCCAGGTGATGGGGGCAGAAGTCTGAGTACCTGGGGGCACACACCCGAGACGGCCCTCAGCCAGTGCTCAGCGAGGGTTCACTAAACGAGTCTCTCTCTAAGATTTATCTGAGAGGCAGAGAGAGAGAGAGAGAGAGAGAGAGAGAGAGTGAGTCTTCCATCTTCTGGTTGACTCCCCAGATGCCACAACAGCCAGAGCTGGGTCCACCCGAAGCCAGGAGCCAGGAGCTTCCTCGGGGTCTCCCGCACAGGTGCAGGGGCCCTCTACTGCTTTCCCAGGCCGTAGCAGAGAGCGGGATCGGAAGCGGAGCAGCCGGGACTCGAACCGGCGCCCACCTGGGATGCTGGTGCCGCAGGGAGAGGCTTAGCCCACAGTGCCAGGAGTCTTGAGAGAAATTCACCGAGCTGCCCTTGTCTCAGCGTTTGCTGGGTGTGCGCACAGGAAGTCAGAGCTCTAAGCGCTAGCCCAGGGGAAGCCACGGAGCTTGTAGAGTGGACAGACGAGGGCCGGGGAGGCTGCCGGGGGGAGGCAGCCTGGCCCGGGGTCTGGCTAGGGCTTGAGGAGCCCGGCAGACATCCGGTGTGGAGGGCACAGTGAGAGCAAAGGTCGGCGGGCCCCAGTGACCCTTCCCACCCACCGAGGGGGCGAGGGAGGGAGGGTGGAGGGAGGTCCCTCTGGGGGAGCCCCAGGCCCCCCGCCTGCCAGGTTTGGCCTTAACCTGGGCCCTCAGATCTCCGTCCAGTTCCTGCTGTACAGAAACCACGCTGCCGCCGCCTCCGCCACCACCACCGCCACCGCCGCGGAGCGCGAGCCCCTGCTCCCTAGCTGAGCAGCCCCCGGCTGAGCCCGGGATGACGGAGCCCTCCGCGTGCCACGCCCAGGCAGGGAGGCGGAGCCCGCCACGTGCCACGCCCAGGCAGGGAGGTGGAGCCTCCACGTGCCACGCCCAGGCAGGGAGGCGGAGCCCTCCGCGTGCCACGCCCAGGCAGGGAGGGTGTGGGCACTGCTGCTGTCCCGTGGCCCAGCTGCCCGTCCACCGAGCCCCGGCCTCCCAGGGCGAAGGCTGCCGTCCCTGGGAGCCTTGGGGGCGGGGCTGCCCTCACACCCACCTACCTCATGGTGCCTGAGCGCCCCCTGGGGGCCCCGGCTGGCCTCTCAGTCCCTGGGTGCGCGGGCCCGGCTGCCTGGGAGCCGCTAGGGGGCGTCCTGTCTGTAGGCTGCTCTGGGCCGCTAGGGGGCGTCCCGTCGAGGTGTCTGTAGACTGCTGCTCTGGGCCGGCTCCGTGGCAGGCCCCACCCTGGGTGCTGGGGACGCAGCGGCACGAGGGGGCCAGGGTGGGGGGAGCTGCTGCTCGGTGCTCAGCAAGAGCAGGGCAGTCAAGGTCCACCCTTGGTCCTGCATCTGGGTGCCCGTTACCTCATCTGTGAAATGGGGTGACGGTACCGCAGCGTCAGACGACCTGAAAACGGCCCCGGGGTCCCGTCAGGCCCGCAGGGTCTAGTGGTCTGGCCCTGCCAAGAGAACCGCAGACAGGGCTCGGAATCCAATAAATCAATAGCAGCTACCTTCTAAGTTCAGTTCGTACAGCCCGCGGAGGATGTTCTAAATATCCAAATGGCCCTTGGCAGAAAAAAAGATTCCCCACCCCACAGAGGCGCAGTCACCGGGGCTGAGCTCCAAAGCTGAAGAGACAACCAGGGAGACCTTCCTGGAGAAGGTGGCGGCCAGCAGGATGGGTGGGACCTACAGGGGGAGGGGGCAGCGGGGGCAGGGCTCGGCCCTGAGCTGTTATTGGGCCCCAACAGACTGCCTGCTGCAGGCGGGGGCCAGGGCCTTCCTGGGAACTCCCTCGCGGGCAGGAGGGCCCTGCGGGGCACAAAGCTGAGAGCAGTGAGGGGTGGTGGAGCGGGTGGGGCAGCTCCCAGCCCCCTGCCTACCTACCTGGCTTTGGCCGGGGCTGGCCAGGGTTCATCTTCCAGCCTTTATAGGGTTTGCGGGTTATGGGCAGGGGGACGCCAGGTTCCCCACACGCTAGCCAGCGTTGAGGAAGCTCGCAGGAGGAAGAGAGCTCGGCCGCCGTGACCGGCCGGAGTGCATCTTCACGGGCCCGGCTGGGGTCACTGCACCGAGGCGGCAGGCTGGCACTACTCCACAGTGCCCGCCCCACCGCACAGGGCAGAGGTCGGCCGGGGATCGGGAGACAGGGTTCTGGGAGCTGGGTCCAGCGGAAGCCAGGGAGGACCCCAGAGGTAGGTGGGCAGTGAAAGGGGCCGGGGAGACAGAGCCCCGGATTGTGCCATCTGCCAGCAGTGCTCTGGCCCCACGGTGCCTGCTGGGCTCCCACAGAGCCCCCCCTCCCCCGGCTGCCTCCCATTCTGCTACCTGGCATCCAGGGGCACCTGCGAGGTGGGGGACGAGCTGCCCACCCCAGGAGCGCATCGCCTGCAGCCCACAGACCACAGGCCACTCCACCCCCACCCCACTGCTCTGCCATGTACTCAGCCTCTCCCTCCCTGTCTTGGAATGCTCTAGGGGCCCTGCCAGCCAGCACGCCTGGGAGGGTGCAGGGCAGGGACTGGCCAGGCCACAGCTCCCCACTCACTCCCTCCCATCCAGCAAACCCAGTATCAGAGCCCCAGTCACTAGCATCCAAACTAGCAGTGGTGGCTCCTGCGGAAGATTCCAGAAGACAGAGCAAGATCCAGCCTGGCACAGCACAGCTGCGACTTCCAGGTTTCACGTATGACTTCTGGCCACCTGACAAAGGTGAGCGGCAGGCCCTCGGCACAGTGCGGTGCACAGCGGTGACCAGAGCGAGGCCAGCATCGCAGCGTCTCAGTCGCCCATCTGTTCCGCTTGCGTGGCAAGAGCTGCTGGAACCCCCCAGGGTGGAGAGGACGCAGGGCTCTGCGGTTCCAGCTCCCGTGTGCTGTGCTGTGCTGTGTTGCACTCGGGGTGGGGGTGGGGGTCTCGTGGGCAGCAGGCGAGGACCTTCTGGCCTGGGGTTTGTGTGGGGGGAGAAAGGCCCATCCTGTAGCTCTGCGGGTTCCCCAAGCCCACAGCCTGCTTCCTCCCACTCTCCCACTTGAAAGGGGCGTGCCGGCACCTGGCTGGGGAGGCACGGGGGTGCCCAAGGACCGGCCTGCGCAGGCGCTCCACAGCCGCCCCGCGTTTCCCCACCCGGCTGGTCTGGAAGGGGGGGCGCAAGGAGGCCCAGGGCTCCGGAACCCACTCCCCGGCAAGCCCCGCACCTGCTCAGCGGCCGGGGCGTCTCCACCGTGGAGTCAGCCCTCCCCCTCCCGGCTGAGGCCACGCGGGCCTTCGAGGGAGGCGGGCGAGAAAGAAGACGGCAGACCCAGTGCTAACTGCGTCCCAGTTTCTTTTTATTTAATTTTTTTGTTCTTTTTTTCCTTTTTTTAAGTATGGAGGCTCAAGTATAAGATGTAGATATTTTTTGTTAAGCTTTACAAAAAAACAAAATAAAACAAAAAACTCCTTTTGCATTCCGTAAAAATTGACAGAAAAGCACCTGGCCAGAAGAGCAGCCCCGCCCCCACCCCGCGGCCTCCGAGGGACAGGGGCAAGCCTGCACAGGACGGCTGAGCCCCTCTCCTTCCGCCCAGGGCTGGCCCCTGTCCCCCGCCCCCCGCCCAAGCAACTCCCAAACGCACTGGAGTCGCACCTCCAGGTTTCCTTCTGTCTCTCACACACCACAGTTATTTCATAAAATTTTTTTGTTTTACATTTTTTACACCAATGTAACAAAAAGGGGGAGGGGAGGGGCTGACGGACAGCGTCTTTATGCCTAAGGGGGGGGCGGGCGGGGCGGACCGGGCCCTCGCGGGCTCTATGCAGACACCAGAGTTCTGACAGCGGAACGGTGGGAAGCAGGCCTCGGAGCCGGAGCAGGGCGGTGACTGGGCTTTATTGGGGAGATGGCGCTGTGCGGTCGAGGATGCGCGTTGTTAGGGGCCTGTCGGGGAGGGAGGGGCCGGGGACAGGGAGCAGAAAACGAGTTTTCTAGGAAAGGAACCTAAAGAGTGCGCGGCGTGTCCGGCTAGCGCGGAGCAGGGGCTTAGCTCTGCTGCTTTCTCTTCAAAGCCTCCACCAGGTCGTTCTTAAGCGCTTCTTGTTTAGATTTGTCTGCAAAAGTCTGCACAGACCTGCAAGGGAGACAAGGCGTCAACAGCGGGCCGAGTGGCAGGAGCATGGGGCCGTGGGGCTCGCGCCTCCCCGACGTGGCCGGCAAGGTGCTGGGGTGTGGGCTCGGGCACCCCTCTCCCAGGTCAGCACAGGCCCAGCCTGGGGACCGGGAGCCTGGGATTTGCTGCAGGGGGCGCGGCTCAGGGGAAGCCAACAGGGACAGTCGCTCGTGTCTGCCAGGCTGACCATGACCGCAGCTAGTGGAACCCAATGGTGGCCTCCAGGCTTCCAGGCACAACGTAGCAAGGACCCCGCTTCCAATCAGCTGCTGGGACTAGGAGGGGCCCAGGAGGAGGCTCGGCCCCGGCCCTGCGGAGAACAGGGGGCAGGGGCTGCCGCCTGGCGAGTGTTCCGGAAACCAGCGGCTGCACGGTGGCGCATGCTGGGTTCACGGCCTGTGAGCAGCTGTCAGCTTGGCCCGGAAAAAACCTTGCCAGGATTCCAAATGCGGCAGAGGAAAGGGTGGCCTGGGCCCCCGCTGGCGAACCCCAAGCTTGCGGGGTGGGGTGGGGTTAAAGGGACTGGGAACGCTGCAGTTCGTGGGCGTCACCCACCTGAGTGCTCTCCCCCACACGCATCCCAGATGAGCAACTGGAGCTTGGAGAAACGCCCCCGGCACGGCCCTGACCTGTCACACGCACTGGACAGACGGCCGGCCAGGCGCAAACAAAGTGGCTGGCTAACTTTCTCAGTGCAGAGGCCGCTGGGCGCCACGCTGGGCTGGCCGCGTGGTGAGAGCCTCAGGTCTGACGTCAGACCCACGCAAACCATGGAAAGGAAGGGTCAGGTGTCCCCGCCACGTGTGCGTGCTGGGGAGAGCAGAGCGAAGCAGGGCCCAGGAGACTGGATCCTGGGGACCGAGTCCTGGAGACGCCAGAGTGGGCACAGACAGGACTCGAGCCGTCAGCACAGGCCGAGGAGCGCCCGTGGGAAACGCCGGCTGGGGCAGATTTTGCCCCGAGTTCTGCAGCGGCCAAAGGCAGGGTGGTGGCTCCCAGGCGCCCAGTCGTGGGCAGTGCTCTGCGGGCCTCACTGAGCTCACGTCGGAGGGCGTGACCAGAGAGCAGCGGCTCCCTCGCCCGGCACAGCTGGCTCTCCTGGGGAGACAGGACGCGGCGCTGGGTCCTGCCAGCCCCGCTGGGTCCTGCCAGCCCCGCCCCGCAAGGACCAAGCCCAGAGTCAGAACCAGGTTAGAGCTGTGGACGTGAGCTTGGAGCAGCTGGAGGCCGAAGGAGCAGGGCCGTCACTGGGAGGGTCACGGCCGCACTCCACATAGGAAGACCACGGCCCCTGCTGGCTGCCCGAGCGCCGCAAGGCGAGGCTGGCGGCTGAGACGCCCCGGCCGTGAGACCCCGCAGCCGCGCAAGGGCGGCAGCCCCGGCTGCTTAGTAAGCACCGCCACCCCCAGACTTCCCAGCAGCTCTTCTGGGCTGGGCCTCAGGCCTCGGACCCTGTGCCTGGGGGCTCGGCGGCCCTGCTGGCTGGGTCACCAAACGCCTCATTCTAACAGCCCCCGCCCTCCGCAAGAGCGCCGAGCGCCCTCATCCATCCGTGTCTGTCACAGGCTCCAGCTCCGCCATCGGCACGGCCCCGGCACAGGCTCCAGCTCCGCCATCGGCACGGCCCCGGCACAGGCTCCAGCTCCGCCATCGGCACGGCCCCGGCACCAGGCCGCTCCAGCAGCAGCCGGTCTGGAGCAGCAGCATCTGGTCAGGGGCACGACGGCTCCACCCCACGCTTGTCCTGAGCCTCGGAGAGTGGGGTCCCCCAAGCCAGCTGCCTCAGTCCCTGTGCCACGGGGCAGGGTGTGTGTGGCTGCGGGGGAGATCCTAAGGCCACCCCGAGGCATGTGGGGAGCAGAGGGCAGCTGTGCGTGCACACAGCGGCCTCCGACAGAGCCCGCGTTAGTTCCCTGGCCTGGGCTCCTTCTGGAGCCAAAGCCGAAACCACCCGTCTCCCCGGGACCTCGCTCAGTGCACAGCACACACCACACACGTGAACGTGTCCGTTACGCGGGCCAAGGCAACATGTTATACGGCCGCCCAGCAGCCAAGAGCGCACGGGGGTTAGTGGAGGTTTAACTGGGCGCGCAGGGCCCGGCGGTTGGTGAGTGCTGTTTAGTGGGCAGCTGTCACGCCTGGCAGGCAGGGTACCTGGATCGGCTCAATTATCAGGCTGGATGTAGATCTGGCGCTGGGTCAGCACTTGGGAAAGCTCCCTCTGCAGCTGCTTAAACTTTTGGTTGTCAGGGATAGCGTCAATAGATCTACAGAGAGCGTTCAGAGGTGAGAAGCAGGCAGGGCGTGGGGGCTGGGTGCACCCGGAGGCTGCCAGCCCGAGACGGTGACTGCGTGGCGTCCCCGCTGCCGGTGAGCGCAGGCACCACCGCCGCTGGAGGAGAGGGTTGGCGGGGTGGGAGAGGGTCTGGTCGGAGGCGGAGGGCCCGACGCTGGGGTCTCTGGGCTCTGGCCCAGGAAGTCAGGATGAGAAGGGCCAAGGGGAACCAGAGGGCAGCTGGCTGGAACCTGTGTCCCAGACAGACCCACGTGGGCGGCTCCGCAGTGGCTCAGCTGGCCTGGGACCACTGGATAGGGACAAGGGGGGTGGCCAGCAACGGCACAGCAGAGCCCTTGGCCACACACGGTGGAGAACACGTCAGACCTCAGCATCTCACCCCCCGTGCAGCCCCCTGCCTCCTGGACCCGGTGGGGAACAGGGCTCGGAGGAGACGCAGCCTCTGGGCTGCAAGGCCAGCTCGCTGCACTGACAGCCACCTCTCATGCCCCCACGCAGGCTCTGCCTCCTGCTCAGTCCTCTACGGACCCCAAGGACCCGAGCAGGGTGGGAGGGGCAGGTGAGGACCTCGGCTCCGGCTCTGTCCGCCCAGAGCTCAGTGGTCTCTCGCCCTCCAGTGTCGCAGGGCCTAAGGGGGCTGCGCAGCTGGGGACGGAGGTGGAGGCAGCCCGAGGGGCGGGCGCAGGAGCTCCGTCCCACGTGGAGTCGGCTGTGAGGGCGTTCAGAGCACGAAGGCCGCCCAGGGGCTTCCCTTCCAACACCTGCGGGGCATCTCGGCCCCCAGCTCCCTCTTACAACGAGGAGGCCGAAGCCCGAGCCCGCGGAGCTGTGAGCGCGCAGGCCCTCGTGGTTCTGGAGTGTGAGTTTTGGGTACGTTACCTCAGCCCGTTGACGATGTCCTTCGTTTTCCCAAAGTAGATCTCATTCAGCGTACTTCGGATTTTATTTTCCATGTCCTGGGAAGGGAGTCAGTCACCATGGAGGCAACCAAGGAGCCAGGGCCGCCCTGGCCCAGCCCAGCCTCTCTCCCTACGGGGCCACAGCCAGGGCCGAGCCCCTGGCTGCAAGGCCGCCCCTGCCCTCCGTGCTCTGAGTGTGTCCCCGACCTCAGGCCTGGCGGCCAGGTCCCAGCGTTCCTCGGAGCCGGTCAGAACCACACCACCCCTCAGCCCTCCCGCCGATACGGCGAGCAGTCCTGAGACCCCTCCTCCCAGAGGGAGGAAGCCTGCGGCACTGGCGCGGGAGCCCCTCCAGCCCTCGAGTGCTCCAGGGGTCTACCCACTCGATCGGCGCGGAGCCAAGGGCTGGGCAGTCACCCCGGGAGCACGTCTCGCAGGCGTGGGGGAGATGCCAGGAGGCCAAGGCAAACAAGCTGTGCGCCGCCGGCGAAGCGGCTCCCAGCCTCCCTGGAGACGGCCCAGGCTGCGGGGAACACAGGAGCCCGGAGCCCGCGGGGCCCACTCACCTCTACCAGGCGCCCGATGTTGGCTATGTGTGGGGAGCAGTCACTCACAGTCTCATCTTTCTCCATCTGCGAAAGACAGAACATTCCCCCGGTCAGAGCCAGAGCCCTGGGCGCGGCGGCGTGGCCCCCACCTCTAGCAGAGCCCGCTGCTAGAGCTGCTGCAGGTGTGAGGCTGCTTTCCCAGCAGGGGAGCCGAGGCACAGAGGGACAGAGTTCAGATTATAAACGCTCCGTCCGCAAAGGCCCCGAGCCCTGGGTTCAGTGCTGCTGCTCCCCTGGGGGGAGCTGTCTTCCCCGGAGACAGCACCGGCACAGCACCTGCGCCGGCGGCTGTGGGTGCTGGAGGCCTTGCTGGGGGTGACAGCCCCGGTCCACCGGAGTCCGAGCTCGAAGTGATTTGCCCAGGCTCACGTAGGCGGCAGTGGCAGACCGAGGCCAAACCCTCTGTGGCTTCAGAGGCTGCAGGGAGGCCAAGCCGGTGTCCGGCGGCCTCTTCCCAAGCCAGGCAGCCTCGGTCACAGCTCAGTCATCGGAGCTTCGAGGGGAAGAGGCAGGCGGGGAGGTGGCTGTCCCCGCGTCCCCCAGCCCGGACGAGGCTCTGGACTCTTGCAGGGCAGGTTTTCCTGCAACATCTCCCAGTCCCTGCAGACACGGACGCTGCACTCAGTGACCGAGGAACGGGAGTGAGAGGGAGGGAAGCGGCAGACGCCTGGCGTGGGTGTGTTCAGAGGCTAAGGGCTCTGCCGCCTGCCGCCGCTGTCCCCTGCCCTCCCATCGGGGAGAACGACTTTCAGGCCAGGAGAGGCAGACCCGAGCTGCGGACACGAACGTGCGAGCCGTCGCCTTCAACTGCCTGGGCTTCCAACTGCCAACCAAGGAGCCCAGGACAGCGCGCCTCAGGGACGCGCGGACACTAGAGGGCGACAGCGGCCAGTCCCCCTTTGCAGGAGGGAGAGGAGAGGGGAGTCAAAACCGCTGTTGACAGGACAACCACCTGGCGGCGAATCTTATACCAGGTCCGGGGCCGGCAAGGACTCACTGAGCGCAGTGTCCCCCGCGTCCTTCTACTGTGATGGGGACACCGGGCTGGAGGGCAGCCACTCACCTGGGGCCAGGACGCCAGCCCTGCGGCTGCAGCCGAGTTGCGGGCAGGGCACTGTGGCCCGGTGGCCTCGCGGCCGTTCCCGTGGGGCGTGAGGGGAGGCACAGCTGGGCATGAGGTGGTTGGGGGTTACAAAAGAACTCGAAATGTGGGTTTGGGACAGGCCCTGACGACAGCAGCTCCCACGTCAGCCGCCCGACTCCACTTGAGCCTTGGCAGCGAGGCCCGAGGGGAGGGTCCGCCTAGCTCACGGCCCCGGCCCTCCAGAGGGGAGGGTCCGCCCGGCTCTCGGCCCCGGCCCACCAGAGGGGAGGGTCCGCCCAGCTCACGGCCCCGGCCCACCCGAGGGGAGGGTCCGCCCAGCTCACAGCCCCGGCCCATTCCAGCACCTTTGCTCTCCCTACTCCTTAGGCCACTGACACCCACCACTTAGTCTGCTCAGAGGTTAACCTCACTGAGTGCAGAATGCAGAACCCCGGTGTGCAAACAGCTCCCGTGGAAGGACGTGTGAGTTTCAGATCACTTCGAGCAGGCCGAGGAGGAGCGTGGCTGCGCCGGCAGCTTCTGTGCAACCTCAGTGGTCAGGTGCTCAACTATTCCTCGTGCCCCGTCAGTGACAGAGACCACAGCCGCGAGGTTCCAGCCTCGTGCAGGCAGCCACAGCGCCCTCTGCAGGGCTGGACTGGTCTGTGAGAGCCACAGACGAGCTCGAGTTCATCCACGGCTAAGGTCGGAACATCGTGACCCCAGGAGACGGCCAACAGCGGGGGTGTGCACGCCTGGTGCAGGTGTGGACGCAGGCGAGCTGGGCACGCCATGCAGGCTGCTGTCCCCAGAGGGACGCTGCCGACGGCAGAGGTGTGACCGATGGGTGGGAGAACATCACACGTGACAGGCACTGGTTGTACAGAGTGAGCTGCTCTCTGGAGAAATGAAGGCCCCAGTTCCCAGGCCCTTCCAGAGGCACTAAGTCTGCAGCACCACGGGCTGTCCCGTGGGAGAGGGCGCGATGCCGCAGCGCGCTCTCTGGCCCCTAGCAGGAGTCCGGGACACGCTGGCAGGCGACCCGGGGCGTCTCGGTCCCGAGACAGCAGTGGTGCCGGCTCCTTCCCTCCAGCCCGGAACAAACTCCACCCCGGCAGAAGGGCAGCGCTGGCCGGAACTTCCTCCTCCTGTTGCCGAGACACCTGGCTGGCGCGTGAAGGGGCTCACCAGCCACTGCTGCACAGCATCAGCCGCGGCTGTGCGTCCTCTCTGCACACGTGGGAATGGGCCCGGTGCCCAGACCGCCCTGCTGGGGGTGAGGGTGGGGTCTCATCCAAATGATTTCCTTCCAGCCCATCAGCCTCCACGCAGAGCACAGACTCCCGGGTACCCCGGGGGAGGGCCAGGGCTCGGAGCTCGCTCAAGACTTTTTTTTTTGAATTCCAGAGACAGGGAAAGCATCTCACAGCCCAATTGGTGGTTCACGTCCTGAATGTGCCCAGTGGCCAGGGAGGGGCCAGAACCCCATCTGGGTCTGTCATGGGGGTGGCAGGAACCCATGCATTTGAGCGACCCCTGCTGTGCATCCAGGAAGCTGGAGTCGGGAGCTGGGCCAGGGCCTGAGCCCAGGCCCTCCTGTGCTGGACGCGGACGTCCCACTGAGTCCGGACAGCTAGGCCGAGCGCTGGCCTCAGCACCCCACTTTCCGCGAGCACCAGCAGCCCGAGTGCGGCCTGGCCTCGTGGCAGGGCTCGGGGCATCGCGGTGAGCTGAGTCACACCAGCCTCCTGACCACACCTTGGCTCCTGCCTTCGTGCTTCAGAACCAAGAGCCCCCTTCCAACAAGCAGAAAAGCGAAGCCCCCAGATGCAAAGTGACCAAGAGGTGGGGGCGGGGAGCAGGTGGGCTCACCCACCCTCCTGTGGGCGGTGCCTGCCTCAGGAGCACACAGGGGCTGGGGCGTGGGGAGCAAAGATCCTGCCCAAGCAGGCATTTTCCACGGCCCCCTCGCCCACTCCCCCAGCCCCCTGCACAGCTGGCCAGGGTCAGCTTGCTAACAGTGCTGACCCACCAAGAACAGAGCTGTTTCTGCAATGCATACGTTACTACGTCCGGACAAAAGCCACTGTCAGAAGAAAAACACGCTCAGGGCTGTGGCTACACATGCTCCAAATGGTGCTTCCGACCGAGGCTGGAGTCAGGCCCAGCTGGCTTGTCCGCGATGAGACCCTCACCTCCTCCTGGGGCCTCGAGATGGGGACAACACGGGCACGTGTCACCTCCAGAGGGCAGCCTGTGCCTCCCGCCGCCTGTGGCATCTCCTGGAGGAAGCCAGCCCCACGGCAGCGCAGCTGCGGCCCCGAAGCTCCCCCAGGGCCAGAGGCTTGGGCTGGTCCGGGCCTCAGTTTCCTTGCCGCTTCCTCACAGGAATAAGCTCACGTACATAACGTGCCTCGGGCGCCCCGACCTGCGGCACGGCGCTCCCCCCCCAGGCTTCTCCGGGCTGCAGAGCTGTGTGTGCTGCGGGCGAGAGGCCAGCTGGGAAACATGCGGCCACACCGGGAAACAGCAGCCAGCCAGCTCCCAAGGAGGACCGGCTCTGCCCGACAGGGAAATTGTAACTGAGTCTGAAGTTGTACGGGTTCTAGAAGACCCGCGGCAACACAGGGACAGCTATTAGGTACCAGGCAGAAACCACGCGCTGAAATGCATGCTGTTCATTTCACCTCTCCCGAACAGCCGTGACCAACGCTGCGGTACCAACAGGCAGCTTCAGAGAAGAGAAGCCGCCCGCAAGCTCGCGCAGCCAGCACACGACCGGGCCGGGATCTGAACGGCGAGGCCTCTCCCCTGGCTCGGCCTCACCTGCACTCCTCACCGGGAAAGCCGACGGCAGGCCACGAGGCAGGGCAGGGACACCCGGGCAGCACGGGCTGCGGCCTCGCGCCAGCTTTCCTTCTCGACAACGCCAGGTCACCCAGCAAAAACCTAACTGCCCCCGGAAGCCAGGGTGGCCACCCGCAGCCGCGCCTGCCCTTTGTCCCGGCATCTACGAGGGAGGGCGGGGCCGCCCCGAATGCATGGACTCTCCTGGCCTAACGGCCAAGCCCAGCTCCCAGCGGACTTCCCTGCTGTGACGACCGGGCCGGCGCCTCTGCTGTCCTCAGGCGTGCCGGGGTGCCACTCTGAGCAGAAGCCACAGCTCGGCTGCCAGAGACGGCTCGCGCTCCCCACTCGACCAAGCATTCCACCTTCATGAAGGGAAACCGCCTGGGGACATCTGGAGGGCCCCTCCCCGGGCGGGAAACCTCGGATCTCTTTCCAGAGAGGCACAGCCCTGCCTCTTTCCACGTCTCTGCTGTCACACAGAAGTAACCTCTCGGCGCCACTCCTTTCCAGCCTGTTGGGCCGTACAGCCTTCCTGCCGAGGCCTCCATGGCGGTTTGCCACGGGGCACCTTCCGCCCACGGCAGGACGGTATGACCCTGGCCATTCCTGAGCCCCCACCGAGCCTGCTGCTTGCTGTCCCCAGCAGCCCCAGCTGCACGGACTTGCCACAGCACTCTGCTTCATTTTCCAGCGAGACACTGGGGGCAGGAGTAGGCATGGGGGCGAAGGAAAGGCCAGAGCGAAGCGGGTGGGCGAGGGCCCGGTGCGCCCAGGCTGAGCCGGCTGCGACGTCCCCAGGCCTGGGTGCGTCGTGAGCAGCAGGGAAATGCGGCTTGGGGCATTCATCATCCTGACGGGTGCTCAGTCAGCCCTCAAGCCCCCAACCCCAGCAGGGCGGCGGGCATTTGGTGCAGCTGGTAAGATGCCGGTGACTCCAATCAGAGTGCCCGGTAGGTTTTGTTTGTTGGTAAAGATGGATTTATTTATTTGAAAGGCAGAGTCAGAGAGAGGGGTGCGCGGGCTGGAGCCACAGCTCCAGTCCCGATTCCAGCCTGCTGGTCCTGTGCACCCGGGAAGGCAGTGGTGATGCCTGAAGCACTTGGGTCCCTGCCACCTGCGTGGGAGACCCAGATTGAGTTCCTGACCCAGGCCTGGTGTCACAGGCATTTGGGGAGTGAACCAGCAGATGGGAGATCTCTGTCTGTCTCTGCTTACGCAGAGGACACAAGGGCCCAGCCTGGACGCCTGAGGCAGGGGAGTGGCCAGCGTGCATCACTCACAGCCCTTCTGCTGGGAAGGCCCCAGGCAGAAGGACCCCGGCTCAGTGCCCGGCAGCATGGGCCTGGAGAGACGGCTCCCAACACAATGGCTTTCCCTCCTGACACTGCGCAGTGTGTGTGAGCTGGGCGGGGGCGGGGGCAGGAGGAGGCCGGGCGTCCCTGGAGGACTGCACCGTGGGGGAACTCCAGGCAGGAGTTGCTCCAGGCCCTCGTCACTGCTCTCATGGACGACACCGACACCAGCAGCCTCTGCCTGCAGCCCCTGCCCCATGCCGGCTGGCAGAGCCACCTTCTGACAAAGGCACACCTGGTCCGGAACCCCTCCTCACCACCTCCGGAGCCAGCGCGTCTCGTGCCGGACAACTTGCTTCCTGCCGTCAAAGGCAGCCGCGGGAGGGAGCCGAGGGCGGTGCTGTTCAGCACCTCTCGGGGCGACCTCGCCCTGGGGTCCGCCGTGGGCCCCGCACAGGCCCGCCCGACACCACGGACCACAGCAGCCGCTTGGCACAAGTGCTCGGGCAGCTGGCTCAGCAGCTTCTGCCTCTGTTGAGCTTCATATTCAGGGTATTTCCCTTCGAATGTTTATTTAGCATCTGCTGAACATCAGCCACCGGGGACAGATCAAGACCAAAAGCGGGGCCGGCGCGTGGCGTAGCGTGTAAAGCCGCCTGCAGGGCCGGCATCCCATAGGGGTGCTGGTTCGAGTCCCAGCTGCTCCACTTCCCATCCAGCTCTCTGCTGTGGCCTGGGAAAGCAGCAGAAGATGGCCCAAGTCCTTGGGCCCCTGCACCCGCGTGGGAGACCTGGAAGAAGCTCTTGGCTTCGGATCGGTGTAGCTCCGGCCACTGTAGCTATCTGGGGAGTGAACCAGCAGATGGAAGACCTCTTTCTCTGTAACCCTGCCTTTCAAATAAATAATAAATCTTAAAAAAAAAAAAAAACCAACTAAACAATAACAACAAAAAACTAGTATGGCCCCCCCCCCAAAAAATCAAAAGTGTGGTGTGGCAGAAAGCAGTGGGTTTTTTTTGGGGGGGTGAGGGGAAGTCAACAAATCTAGGGTCAAATCCAGGCTTTGCCTCTTATTGCTTGAGTCAGCATGGGAGAGGCCCTCACCAGCCTGAACCTGCTTCCTCCCTGCTCAATGGGAACGCTGGCTCTCCTGCGCTTGTCCTTGCTGGGAGCCGGCCCCACACAGGGTCTGCGCACCCTCCCTGGGGAGCCGGCCCCACACAGGGTCTGCGCACCCTCCCTGGGGAGCCGGCCCCACACAGGGTCTGCGCACCCTCCCTGGGGAGCCGGCCCCACACAGGGTCTGCACACGCTCCCTGGCTTCCTCCATCCGCCGGGAACCTCTTCGCCGCTCCTCCAGCCCCCTACCTGCCAAGGCAACCAGAGGCACCTGGCCAAGGCTGACCCCGGGACGCACGGCTGAAGCCCGCGGCCCTTGCGTCGCCTGCTGCTCAGAATCTGTGCCATCTACTCAGGCTCACTGACCTCACTGCGCCCCCCAGTTAGTGACCGACACTGGAGACGGCCCCAGCTGCCACGCACCGCAGGTGATTACGTGACGACAGGAGTCAGGGTCTTCTCGCTAAAGCTCCCAGAGCAGAGGCAAGAGCAGGCCGGTGGCCCCGTGAGGTGTTCTGAGGACAGCTGCTCGTCAGGCCTGAGTCTGGTCTGGCAGGAGCACCCTGCACGCCAAGCCGGAACCAGGCGCTGGCCGTGGGCTGACAGCTCTGATTTAAACTACTAGGAAGGCCGAGGACTAAATATTTGTCCAGGTCACTGTAGACCGGGTGGAACTATAAACAGTGCAGAGCGGTAAGTGATGCAGGAAGTAGTCTCCGGATACGGAGCCAGGATTTTGCACCCGATCCCCAGGTGGCCGGAGTGGGGGAGGAGCCTGTGGCAGGGCTGGCCGCCCCTCCCGCGTCACTGGTCCCCAGAAGGCAAGAGCCATCCCACATGAGAGGACAGGCCCTGCCCTGTGAGCCCTGGTGTCAGAGGCCAGACGGGGACTCCAGGAACCTGGCAGCCTCCAGCCCGGTGGGACGGCCCTTGCACCTCAGGTATGCCACGCCCAGGCACCATCTCAACCACGTGACTACAAATCCACTTCAGAGGGTTACCGAATCAATCCTTTCTGCTCTATGTTATTTTTTCTATCAACAGCAACTAACTAAGAGTACAGTTATCTTACTGAAAAGATTTTTGATGTTAAAAGGAACCCTTGTCCAGGAGAGCAGGCCGGATGAGAACGGGAACAGGGACGGGAGAGCTCCCCTGGACGCCCAAGGCCGCCGCACTTCCACCAACACAGCATCCGCGCTGGCGGGCGAAGGCAGCTCCCTCCCAGGCTGGGGTGGGCTGGGTCTGGGCTTCCCCTCTGCCCCACCCCAAGCGTCCTGCCGCCCTGCACTGGGCACAGGTGAATGCCTTCTCTCAGGATGGGTGAGGCTTGCCAAAGGTAGCTTATCTGTTCTGACGCTTCACCAATAGCATCGAGAGCGGAAGTCAGGAGAAGCTTACCGGTCAGGGTTGAGAGTTCTGTGTTTCTAACAAGCTCCTGACAAAGCCGAGGGCTGACCGGACCACAGGGCTGCTCATGGCCAGAGAGGGGGCCGAGGGAGTGCAGCCCACGAGCGATGCGAGGCAGCCGTGGCCACTCGGGGGCGGAGCTGGAGTGTGCGCTGGGCTGAGTGAAGGGAGACACTACCTGTCTGGTAAGGCTGCCTCCGAGGTTCATGGTACCCGAGCCGGATTTGTTGGTCTGCAGCCACAGCATCACCGTGGAAGTCAGTTTGTAGTGGGCGGTGCGGCCACTGGACTTCTCCTGCAGGGGAGGACGAGAGATCAGAGTCCGAGGAACGCTCAAGTGCTCCCTCCTCAGCCATGGCCACTGGGGTGGGCATCTGGCATGCCCGTACTCTATGCTGGATCCAGCTCCCTCCTCGCATCTGCCCTGGGAGGCAGCAAGGGACACCCAAGTGGGAGACCTGGTCTGAGTGCCAGTTCCTGGCTTTGGCCAGGCACAGCCCAGGCTGTTACAGATAACCTGGAGAGAGAAACACCAACGGGGAGATCTGCAGCTTTCCTGAGAGAGGGAGGGAGGGAGGGAGGGAGGGACTCCCCCAAATGTTTTTAATTATTTTACTTGAAAAGCCAAAAGATGGCGTGAGAGAGATTTATTCCCCACTTTCAACAGCCAGGGCTGGGCACAGCCGAAGCCAGAAGCTGAGAACTGAATCTGGGTCTCTCATGTGGGTGGCAGGGACCCAGGTACTCCAGCCTGCCAGGGTGTGCGTTAGCAAGAAGCTGGAGCTGGAAGCAGAGCGGGGAGGACCCAGGCACTCCACTACGGGGCGCAGGACCCTAAGTCGCATCCTGACTGCCGTGCCACACGCCCACCCCACGCTGTTTTTGAAAGGGGCTGCATCTATAACCGCGTACGCCGAGTTCGCTGGGACCTTATGATCCACGGCTACTCAGTCCTCATTGATCTGCATCCAATCGGCTTTGGGGTGTTTCTAGGAATTAGCAGGGGTTTTTATCAGTGTCCCCAGCGCCAAAGCTGCACCCGGAGGCCCGGCTGCCGGCTGCTGCGGGGGCTGTACCTGCACTTCCACCACGTGGATGGAATCCCAGCAGCCTTTGATCTTCTTTGATCCATCTCCAGCCTTCTTTATGAGGATCACTCCCGCAAAGCCATGATCCAGATCCCAGAGGTAGACAGATGAGACACCACCTTCAAAATACCTGCAGGAAACAGGCCCGTGAGCCAGGAGACAGATGGCCAGTCCAGGTCCCGGCTGCCCCTCAGCTGCGATTCGCCTGGCAGTGTGGGATGAACAACCCTGCACAGGTCCCGGGGTGGATCCCTGGCTGTGTCCTGGTGCCCCAGGTTGGGGAGGGACGCGGGGAGAGCGTGGGCTCAGGGCTGTGGCTCTGTGGTCTCAGGGCTGCGGCTCTGTGGTCTCTGACACCCCTTCTGCCTTCTCAGGGACTCAGATTCCTCCCAGACGGGGGACGCAGCGCAGGGTGCGACACGGCTCCTGGAGCAGCTGCTGCTGCCCCAGTTCCCTTCTTCTAGACGGCTCTTTGCAGGACAGACGGGAGCAGCAAACTCCTCCAGAGCCTGGGAAAGACTCAGTGAAGGGCTGGGTCCAGCTTGGAGCTTCCTGCTCTGATCTCAATCGATATGGAAAAATTCCCAGTCACGAACAAATGGGACGGAAAGAAAAGGCCAGACAATCAGGCGGGACCCCAAACCCAAGAGCCCAAAGCCGCCTGTTCCGCAGGGCTGAGGCCGCTGTGAGGGAGACCCCCGAGTTGGGTGCTTGTCCCTCAAGGCCAGCACAGTCCTCACTGCAACGTCCCTGGCGCCTCCGACCCACTCGGCCTGGGCACAGTGACATTCCAGAGCAGGGTGGGGAGTCTCTTCTCTACCAAGGGCCGTTGGGTATCTGCAACTTCAGTTGCAGGCTATACAGAATTACCCACTTAAAAATTAGCCTGCTACAGATTTGCTGAATTTGAGTCCTGCCTGTGGGCTTTACGTGGCTTGTGGGGCGGACACTCCCCACCTCTGTTCTCGAGGCTGCCACCAGGGAGCGCCGTGTGGATAGGACTTCAGACCCGGACAGCGGGGAGGTACGCCCCCAGGCCCGCGGCAGGGTCATGGGCTCAGGAGTAAGGCACACGTGGGACCAGTGCCAGCACCTGGTTACAGCTCTGTGCAAGTCCTTATCTACCCAACAGTGGCTTAGTGATGGCTGCCAGAGACGAGCTGGGTGCACATGGGTCTCATGGACAAAACCGCCTTTACAGAGCAATTGAGAAATAAAAATAAACTAATAAATAATAAGGTAGACGCCTGGCAAATGATCACTGTGTTCACCACTTAAATTGAGGACTAAAACTTAACAGGTGTCTGTGACCTGTATTTCAAAGCTATCAGGATGAGACACTCCCAGCACTGGCGATGCTAACAAGCAGCAAGTGTGGGCAGGAGGTGGGGGAGAAGGGAGGAACCTTTGCAGACCGGGCCCGCTGTGTCACAGGTGCTACTTCCTGTCCTTGCACTCAGCCAGCTGCGACCAGAAGTATCCAGACCAGAGAAGCTGCAGACGCACTCAACACGCAGACTTTTTTTCTCCTTGCCATTATTTCATAAACACCACAGTATAGCAACGACACACACAGCTCTTACAGCGTCCGGTACGTAAGTAACCTGCAGGTGGCTTTAAAACACACTGGAGGATGCGTGTAGGTTACGTGCAGGGGGACTCGAGCCTCTGCAGATTTTGGCCGTGATGTGTGTGTGCTGGGGCCAGGCCCCCGTGGAGACAAACGGTTCACGGTACTGTTTCTGTGATTTTCCTGGAGTCTAACACTACCCACATTCAAACTTTGGAAAAGGCAGCACCTGACCTACTCTGGGCCGCTCTGCAGTGCTCCTGGGGCGTGGAGAGGGTCGGTCACTTCTAGACCAGAGTCCCACCGGCTTCTTCCCGGGGCTCCTGGGGGCTCCCTGGGCTCACGAGGTGAGGCACGCGGCGGCGCCACAGCCTGCAGCAGGCCTGCCAGTGCCTCCTTGCTGAGAGGCAGCCCGCTTCCAACACACAGCTTCCTCCCCAGGCTGCTGGTAGGGAGAGCAGCCCCACATCAAACGGGGGAAAACTTGAAAAACCACGGCTTTTTTTTTTCATGCTGGTGAAAAGGGCAGCCTGGGAATTCCTGCTTTCCTGCCGTCATCCTGGAACAAAGGCTTGAAGCCTGGGGACCCGCAGGGTCCGGCCGCCCTGGAGGGAACCAGGAGAGCCCTGGGCGCCCCGACAGCCAGTGACCGGCTGCCAACACTGGCGGCCCAGGGCTCTGCCGCCTCAGGACACTCCTCAGTGTCGTGTTCTTGCAGGAGAGGAAGAGGATGACAGGGATGTGGCAGAGGCGGAACTGGCCGTCCCCACTCCACCCGGGCACCCTCGGCTTCCCCGTGGCCACGTGGAGAGTGCTGGAGAGCACAGGCTCCCTGTGACCTCCTTGTGGGCTGCTTGCTCTTCCCGCCAAACCAAAAACTGGATTGTGAGGACACTGTGAAAAAGGGAAACTTAAAGTCAGCCCACAGCACCATCCATCAACCCAGCCCACGGATGGGATTTTTCCAAATGCCCTTCCAGCCTCTGCCCAGATGCAGCTTTTATGGAACCATGGAGCCACGGTTCCCACTGTTTCTAGCCAGGTTCTGCAGTTTGCAGTGCGCAGCACACCAACCCACAGCCCGTCTGACTTTCAGTAGAGACGGTGGTGGCCGACTCAGAGGCTGGGCTGCTGGGCTCTCGCCTGGAAGCCAATGGACACTCCCTGCCCGGTGAGGCGGAACAAGCTGAGATGGCCCTGCCGGGATCCACACACCACAGCAACCCAAGAAGGGACCTGCATTCCAGGCACCAGAAGGGATCGCCAAGGACTCGGGCCGCCCCAAGTCTCGGCCTGGTGTTCCGAGACAAAGGGCCCCTTTGGACACCCCCCCACCCACCCCGCCAGGAACAGCAGCCTCTGGGAGGGGCACGGCTGCAGAACGAGCAGCGTTACCCCTCCCATCACGCGTTTACGGTTTTGCTGTGCACGTAAAGCATTAATTAAAGAGGGACCTCAACAGGTTTTCGAAAATCTATTCTTACCTACTATCCTTTGATCATGACGACATGAAACAAGGAAAAAAATAGCTTTTATATGGCTTGCATTTATGAGTTTTTACATAAAGGCTTTTGTGGGTATTTTAAGAATGTGCTAAAATGTTGTCTGAAACCACATAAAGGCAGGGAGGAGTCGCCCGCCAGAGCTAACAGCACACACACGGAAGCACTTTACCCCGCCTGTGTGTTTCACGAGGCCAGCAGCATAACTCCGGCCTGCACGCTAACACTACTTCAACAGAGGCGGGCCGTCGGCCGCAAGCCACGCCTGGACCCTGCATGGCTGGGGGCAGCTACAGAGGAGCCCAGAACCCTGCAGTTCCCCGGGGTTGGGGGGCGGAGGATGGGCCGGCCGCGGTCTCTGGTCAGCCGGTGGCGCGGAGATGTGAGCATGGGCTTTTGGCAGGCCTCCTCTGAGAGTCAGACGGCTGGGGCTGAACGGCTGCTCCACGAGGGAGCCCGGCAGCAGGCTGGCACAGGGGCAATCTCAGGCAGACTGCGGAGAAGCCACGAGGCGGTGGGAGTCAGGACACGCCAGGAATGTGGGGAGTAGGGGAAATGACAGACGGGCCTGGGGAGGGCCGGGGGCTCAACCCCGGGGGAGTCACCTCTTGCTGGAGTACCCCAAGAACCGACTCCTCTAGCACACGCTGGCAGCCCCACGCGCAGCTCTGGGAGCTCCCAAGACTTTGACAGCAAAGGCATGTGTTTCCTGAAGGCAAAGGCAACCGCAGAGAGCGTGGCTGGCTGATCCGAAAGCGACAGGACCACTCTGGGGCGGATCTGGAAGTCCTGCCATGGGAAATCCAGAGTGTGTACAACTGGCCAGCCCAGGTCTCGTAACCCCAAAAGCCTGGGTCCCTAGGGAACGCCTTTGGGCTGGAGGAGCCAGAAGCTTGGCAGGACCCTCGGATGGGCTGGCTGCCTGTCTGTTGGCATCTTGGCAGTCTCCCTTCTTGGAGTCTGTGCTCGCTCCCTGAAAGTCGCTCTTCCGGAACCGTGCTGTCACACACCGAGGATTTGTGTCGCTAACTCCTCAACCACAGGACTTCGGGGGGGGGGGGGGGGCAAAAGGGGAGAGACACTCAGAGTGGTTGCCCCAGAGTAAGAGCCATAGCACTTAGCTCCACAGGCCCCGGAGCGTCTGGAGCCGAGGCGTGCAGAGACCGAGGACGGAAGCTGCTGCAGGACTCTGGGCGGCGCCGACGCTGGCCCAGCCTGTCTGGGCCAACGCTGGGCTGCGATGGACTCTGAGGCTGGCTCCTTCCTTGCAACTGCTTTCTGGGGAAGGCCCCCAGCAGGTCTCGTGTCACAGGCTGCAGCCCCCCGCCAGAGAACCAAGGCCAGGACGGACCTGCGGGGAGCAGGGCTCAGCAGTGCCAGCCAGGAAGGGACTCTGGCTCCGGACCTCCCTAGCACGCGCCTTGTGGGCACTAGCAGGCGGAGCAACCTTTGCAGGCCTGGTTCGGGCCCAGGGCCCTGGCAGACACGTACCCCTGGCCAGAGGCTCCACGGCTCTGACACGGTGGAGGGCGTCCAAGGACCCAGGATAGAGAGGGGGTTACGAGAGGCGCCCCACAGGTGCTGGGAATGGGAATCTTCTTCTGTAGTCGGCCTCATTATATAAAGCCAGGTGAAAGCAAGGAAAAGTATCTGGCACCCATGACTGTTTCCCTATTTGTACAGAGACCTGGATCCGAGCTCCCAGCTCCAACTCCTAGGTCTTCCTGGCTGCTTCAGGGCCTACAGAGGCAGACTCTGAGCACCCATTTTGATCCATTCAAACAGTTCTGTGACTTGCACGAAAACCTCTGCCCTTTTTCCTGGAACTATACAGAAGAGAACTTAATGCCCTTTCCTCTCATAGCCCCTATGTTTTTAAGGATTATCTTTCATTTTTTACATTTTCATTTGAAAGGCAGAGAGACATAGACAGACATAGATCTTCCATCCACTGGTTCACTCCTCAAATGCCCACCAACAGCCAGGGCTGTGCTAGGCCAAAGCCAGGAGCCAGGAACTCGATTTGGGTCTCCCACATGATGGCAGGCACTCAAGTGC